CTCTTTAATCATTTCCTGTCATAGCGCACTCTAACAAATAGGTTACTCACGCACACACACACCCCATTTTACGGTGGTATTCTTACGATGCATTCTAAACAACACCTAAAACAATGATACCAGAAAAACGCACAGACCAAAACAAAGTTTCGCACATACCAGAGTTGCTAGAAGTCATTATAGTTTCTTGATCTGAGCTCCTGCCTCTCGATTTACTCATACAATCCCAACGATGAGTTTTGTTTTGGTGGCCTTATTCATGCACATTTAAGGTTCAACACAGGTTGTCAAATATTTATTAATATCCCCTTCCATTCAATTTCTCCTTAAAATAATCCCACAGATTCCAATTCAAATCTAACCATAATTAAACAAATATCTACAATTACTAATTAACCCTTTTGATTTCAATATATCCTTATTTACTAGAATATTCTCTTCTAATCTCCACCATTCATGAAATAAGAATCAATGGTTATTAGGAGATCTCATGATTTCATCTATAATAGGGGTTGCACCGGATTTGAAGCCTATATATATATATATATATATATATATATATATATATATATATATATATATATATATATATATATATATATAGGGTAGGGTTCCAGTGAGAACACGTATGTGCTTAGGTGAGAACGTGAGAACACATCATGTGTATTCATCTAATATTTTTTAATGGTCTAGATTAGATTAAGTGTGTGCGAACGCGCATTAAATGTGCGCAAACACACTAAATCGCGTTTGCACACAGTTAATGCGCGTTCACACACACTTAATCTAATCTAGACCATTAAAAAATATTAGATGGATGCACATGATGTGTTCTCACGTTCTCACCTAAACACATGTTCTCATATGATCTTTTATATATATATATATATATATATATATATATATATATATATATATATATATATATATATATATATATATATTTATTTATTTATTTATTTATTTATTTATATATATATGGGGATCCTGTGCAACCCCTATGATACATGAGATCCCATCTCATCCATTAATAAATTTTTAATGGATGGATAGGATTCAAAGTCTAATATCAATTATTTAAGGATAGATTTAAATGAGAATGGTGTAAGAGTAATTCTATTATGCTGTTTAATTTTGGTTATAATTAAAATAGAATCTTTATCTAAGGGATCATATCAATTGTAATAATTAATTAATTAATTATATATATATATATATATATATATATATATATATATATATATATATATATATATATATATATTTTTTTTTTGTATTCTGAGATTTTGAAGAAGAAACATGCCAAGAAGAAATAGTAATATAAGATTTGTATGTGTTACGGTGGTGTGTGCATTTGTATGGTAGGGTGTGTGCATTTGTGTGGTAGGGTGTGTGCAATTTTGTGAAACTTTGCATCATGTTGCTTTTGTTTCGTGTTGTTTTGTTTTGTTTTGTTTTTTTTTTTTTTTTTTTTTTTTTGCTTGTTTGTTTGTTTGTTTTTTTTTTTTTTTTTAAGATGGAGTATGCATTTTCATGATATGGCGTGTGCAAATTTATCGCAATGGAACTTTACATCATGTCATTTTGTTTTTTTTTTTATTTTTTTACGATGGTGTGTGAAATTTGTATGGTTTTGCGTTTGCAAATTTTTGGCAAAGGAAATTAACATCATGCCGTTTTTTTATTACGCTTGTGTGTGCATTTGTGTGGTATGGCGTGTGCAAAAAAAAAACATCATGATTTATATATCAAAAAAAAAAAACGCAATAAGAATTAACGCACACACCATACCAGTACAATGCACACACCGTTGTAAGATTGCATTTTAAAATAAAACAGTAATAAAGGCGTGTACATTAAACTGGTGTGTGCACGTAATGAAGTAGGTGGATGCGTAGGAATGAGCACGTAGGTATTTGCTAAGTAGGTTATATTTCACAACTATATGCGGTGTGCGCACACGAGTGACAGTAAGAGAGAGAGAGAGATAAATATTGAAAATTGATTGAGGCAAAAAATAACGCTACAAATCTTTATAAACATGGAAATAAATGAAATGAAAAGTAATAAATACAGTGATTAAGGACAAAAACACCCCTGGCTTCATCTAAAATCAGTAGCATCTGTGATCCAAGTGAAATCAATCTAAACCGTTGAAAAACAAAAATAAACGCACAGGATGTGGTCTCACGATCTCACCTGGCTAGGGGGTTTCACTGGATTCAATATATATATATATATATATATATATATATATATATATATATATATATATATATATATATATATATATATATATATATATATATATATATATATATATATATATATATATATATATAGAGGAGTACGTTCAGGTGCGAACTGCCCGCTCAGGAAAGAAATGAGAACGCATGCTATTTGTCTATGTGTCCAAATCTAACGAATGAGAAATACTGATTTTTATTTATTTTTAAACGCGGTGGTGTTTTCGTAAATAATTGAACATCGAAGTGCAAGTAAAATGTATTACAAGTGCAAGTAGCAGTTTCATATAGTGCACCTCAGTGCAAGTAAAATGTATTACAAGTGCATGTAAAATTTACACTGATCATTAATACTAAGTGCACCTAACGTTATAACTAGGTGCACTTAACGTTATAATTAGTTGCACCTAGGTGCACGAATGTTAACAAGGTAAATTACTTGCACTGGTAAGTGAAAATAGGTGCACTTGTAAGTGCTTTTTTACTTGCAAAGGTGCACCAGCTACTTGCACTTATAACACATTTACTTGCACAAAAGTTTAAGTTATTTACGAAAATGCCACCGTGTCCTTTTTTGTTTTTTTTGTTTAAATGACATCTGATTTGTTGATCTGGACACGTGGACGGTTGAGGGTGCCCCTATATATATATATGGGTTCCCATGCGGTTGAGCCATTGATCTTGCTTAAATCAACGTCCAGGATTAACAAAATTAAAAAAAAAATGCAGTGACATTTTGGTAATTTTTGCATCTAGGTTAAATTTAAGGTGCGTATTTTTTGTGCTTAAGGTGCGTGGTTTTGTTGTTAAGGTGCGTGATTTGTGTGCTTAACGTAAGTAGTTGTTAAAACTTAAGGTGTGTCAACCTGAAGCTTAAGGTGCGTAGTTTTCCTTCTTAAGGTGCGTTGTTTTTCTTCTTAAGGAAGCTATACCCGCACATGAACCCTTATATATATATATATATATATATATATATATATATATATATATATATATATATATATATATATATATATATATATATATATATATATATATATATATATATATATATATATATATTAATGATGAAATGAGAACAGGAGAAGGCGACCCAAATGTGGGTCGCTTCTCCATGGAGAAGGCGACCTTGGTGTCTTCTCCATGACCGGTGACTGTTCGTCGGTCGTCGGTCACTTTTTTGGTTGGAAATTTTGTAATTGTCGCCGGTCATTTTATTTTATTTTTTGTTGGAAGGTGGCCAGAACTCTAATGACCTGTGATAGGAGATCATTAACCTCTTTTTGGACTTCATTGCACCAAAATAAAGTGTTGATGTGTGTAATTGCACCTTTAAAATGTTTAGGGGGCTAATTGACTTTTCAGAATCACAGGTCATTAACTTGTTTTTGGGCTTCATTGCACCAAAATAAAGTGTTGATGAGTGTAATTGCACATTTAAAATGTTTAGGGGGCTAATTGACTTTTCAGCTAAAGTTCGAGGGTCTATTTGACCATTTTCTCAATTTTTGTATGTACGTAAGTAAATGCGAAAACTTAATTTGTGAAGGACGATTATTCTTCCCAAAATGTTGAATCCCCAACCCCGACCCGACAGAGCATCTGGGAGGATGTAAATCATGGTAATGATAGAGGCTAGACCTTTGCTTACTACGCAGCCCCCTCACTTTTAGAGGTTGTTCTACACTGCCGCTGGTGAGACTCGATTTCTTGTCATTCTTCCTAAACTTCACCTCTACTCGATTTCTTGTCATTCTTCCTAAACTTCACCTCTATAACCAGTTGAGCTGCCCAAGCGGACTTGTGAAGGACAATCATGTAGAGATAGGTGCATGCATTGTCGTGCACACGCACACACATATATAATTGTAAGAGATGTAAAACATCTCCATCAATGATTTTTTTCTAAGGAAACACTCATCATTCTTTTTTTTTTCTTTTTTATTCCAAAGGAAAATGATACTCAAACTACTAATCGCCTCCACGAAGACTCGAACCTATTACCTCCCACTTAGAGAAGCAATCAGATACCCTTACACCACAAAGTCCTTGGTAAACTCATCATTCTTTAATGTGGGACAAAATGTATTTATGAAGTCCTTTAATTTGCATTACTCACAACAACAACAACAACATTATTAATATTTAGTACACTTTGAATATAATTCACACAAGTATCTAAAGGGCACATATCACGATCCAATCCCGGCCGGCACCCGATCTGCCGCCGTGTGTGGCGCGGTGAGGTCTTTCGCGTTACACAACCGGCAGCTAGCGCTAGCTGCTGTTCACGTCGTAGTACGTGAAATAAAGTTACTACGTAGTACATGTGTAGGGTATACGTAGGACGTAGATCAGAGCAGAGAGTGACCAATGATGGAACAAAATGAAGGACTTTATGATACAGAAAGTTGATGGAACGTCATTTTAGGGTTAGATGCAAACATGGGGCCCTATGGATGTCCATTTCCCACTGTTCCCGCCCACTGTCGGCCTTTCATGTACTATATACTATATATATATACATACACACTTATAAATTAGTATATATTAGGAAAGCAGGAGAAAGAGAAAGAGAGAGAGAGAGAGAGAGACAAACACTACTCATCAGATCGAGATATATATATTTCATCGATCACTGCAAATATTCTTGTTTACCAATCATAAGGAGCACAACAAAACAAATTAAAACAAAACATTCTTGGGCTAGCTGAAAATTATATTACAGGAAAAAAATAAAAATAAAAGTAAAAAATGGGGCACCACTCATGCTGCAACCAGCAAAAGGTGAAGAGAGGGCTTTGGTCCCCAGAAGAAGACGAAAAGCTCACCAGATATATCTCTACTCATGGCTATGGCTGCTGGAGTGAAGTCCCTGAGAAAGCTGGTACGTTCGTCATTATATATATATATATATATATATATATATATATATATATATATATATATATATATATATATATATATATTAATTAATCTCTGCTATCATTTTAATTACTTACATTAATTACATGCAGTAGCATATAATAATAAATTTGTGTGTCTCTCTGGTTTCTTGTTTTGGGTGATGATATTAGGGCTTCAAAGGTGTGGGAAGAGCTGCCGGCTCAGGTGGATCAATTACTTGAGGCCAGATATTAGAAGAGGGAGATTTACCCCTGAAGAGGAGAAGTTGATTATAAACCTTCATGGAGCTGTAGGCAACAGGTAACACAAACTATTATCACTCAAATTCTTTAAATGCTAATTTCTTATATATATATATATTGTAAAAATGTATTGAGTCGTTTGAAACTTTAGACTACAAGCTTATGACTGCATTCACTTTAATTCTCCAATTTTCAGATTTTAATTTTTTATTTTAAAAAAATTCTCCTGTTTCTTTTTTTAATTTAATTTCTTCTTCTTCAAAAAAAAAACATTCTCCAGTTAATATTATACACATCTTATATCCTTTGTGTATAAAATTCTTGAAAAGACAGTTATGTTTTATATTATGACCCTCTTTGGTAAATGACCGTTAGCGAATAGCTATTAGTTGTTAGCTGATTGTGTTAATTAGATGGTATAACTAGTTGATAACATTAGCTGATAGTTGATAGTTGTTTGGTATAATTTTTTTCTCAAAAAATTAATTAAAAAAGTTGCTTTGAGTAGCTTTTTGAATTTTAGCATTTTGGAGTACAAAAATCTAATTAACCAAACACTTATATTGATTTTTAAACCAATTCAAACAACTAATAGTGGTTAAATAAGTCAAAATTGGCCTATAAACTAACTATTTTACCAAACATGCCTCTATTTGAATTTTGTTTCCATTATTGAACCGTTAATGTGTCATAAGATACCATTATATATAACGTAGAAGGAAATTCTTCAATATAAAAAATGTAGTATAAAGTTTCTTACGTACCCTTAATTAAAAAGGTGTAGTGGTACTTTTGCAAATAAAATAATGATAGTTATTTACATGACTATATATATATACACACACTTCTTTTTGAAATTTGTATAATTTTGCTTGGCAAGAATGAAATATTGATGAATCTCCTGCTACCAAACTTATCCAGATATACACACAAGAAATAAAATATGTTGCCCTCACGGGCTTAGCTCACTGGTTCAATAGGCAGTATTTGAAAGAAGATATTAAGGTTTGAACCTCAGCAACGACAATGTGGGATTATGTCCAGAGTGAACAATATCTCTTGTGTGCACCGGTGTAATTTATATTCTCCCAAATACTCTGTGGAGTTAGGGGTATAAAATATGTTAGAAGCTAGTTTAATTTCGAAATGTAGATTTGAGCACGAGCAAAACATTCACATCCCAAAAAGGTATACAACAATAATGATGCTATAAAGAAGTGGTCCAAGTGGAGTTAGTGTAGGGTGCTAATAAGGCTTGCTTTGAATTGAAGCCAAACTTAATTGAAGCAAAGGACTTTCCTTGTTAATAATGTAATGATTAATTATTAGGTTTTCCTTCACGTTTTTGTGGAATATAATTATTTACACTTTAAAATTAAGGTTCTAATTAAGCAAAGAATATAATCAAAGATTACTTCATACATAGATGATTTTCAGCCAAAGCATTGAATTTACAATATTTAAGCTTTTGCTATCAAATTAGTTGCGGATAGAGTAGACCATATCAACCTACATTTGTAGGGTGTTAAGGAGGGATTGTCATTGTTTTGTAGAATTTCATTGCAAACATCCTAAGAATATCACATCCGGTTATGTACTTAGTTTATGATTAAACATTATATGGCCTGTTTGGTAAATGACTGTTAACGGATAGTTGTTAGCTGATTGGGTTAATTTGAGGGTATAACTAGCTGATAACATTAGTTGATTGTAGAAATGTGTTTAGTAAATTAGCTGTTAGCTGATAGTTGTTTGGTATAATTTTTTTTCTCAAAAAGCTAATTGAAAAAATTTTTTGAACAGCTTTTTGAATTTTAGCATTTTGGAGTTACAAAAGCTAATTAATCAAACACTTATATTGATTTTTTTAATCAAGTCAAACAATTAATAGTGGTCAAATAAGTCAAAATTGACTGATAAGCTAACTATTTTACCAAACATGGTCTATATTTCACTCCGAGTTGAGTTCATAATGCTGGACCAAATATGTTCTTATACCCGAGTTGAAGTCATGATACAATTTATTGTAAGAGAACATTAAAATCAGGTTATAATACACATGAGTCGAACTAACACTAAAAAGACGGGATATTAAAAAATTAGTTACGTTAGTCTAACCCTGATATTATAAACTCTATTTTTTGTCTAATGTTATTATTAGATCGAATTTCTAAACTTCAACCTTAGTATAAGTGATGATTATTGCTCAAAATTGCAAATTGTTGTATGAATTGAACTAGTTTGTGATAAGTATTGGTGTGTATACATGTGAAAATTGCAGATGGGCACATATAGCAAGTCACTTGCCAGGGAGGACAGACAATGAGATAAAGAACTATTGGAATTCTTGGATAAAAAAGAAGCTAAAGAAACCTCAATCAACATCTCATCATCATCATCATCATCAGACAACCACAACATCAATAATTGGTACTAATAATAACATTGATACCCAGCAACAAATTCAGTTCCCTTTCAACAATATTAATCCTGCAAATAATGACCAAAGGTTCTTCACTCAAGATTTGGCGACGAAGCCCTTGCAATTCCAAGAAACCCTATTTTCCACCCCTAATATTATTACTAACATCGCCCCATTTTTCACCTTCGACACCGCCGCCATTGCCTCGCTGGGAGACTGCAGCGCCAACCGGGTCGACCCGCTGTTCCAAGATTCTGATGAGTTCTGGCAGCAACAGATTCAGACTACGACGACGTCGTTTGGATCGGGCGGCATGGGTTCGGGTTATTTTTTGCCGCCATTGATGGATGATTTGGGGCCGTTGGATAATGTGCCACCCACTAACCTGCAGTTTGACGAGGGGCAAGCGGCGCGTGACAATCAAGTCAGCGAATGGGGCGTCGACCCGACACAACAACAACAACAACGTCAGCAACTGCAACAATGTCCGGCCGGCAGCAGTTATCTGTTGTGGGATGACGTCACAGAAGGGAATCTTGGTGGGGAAGAAGAACTCATTGGGGTCCCAACCACATCACCCATGCTATCTTCTTTTCCTCCATCTTTATGATGATTTGATTCACTATTAACTTCTTTCTTTTATTTTTTTTTTTCTTTTAATTCCGGGAATTCAATTAATATAATGTTTATTTGAGAGGAGTGATCGAGTTGGGTCATGAGTGGTGTTTATTTAAATAAATAAATATATATTTCTGGACAGATTTTAACTTGTTAAGTGAAGAAAAGTGAACGAATAAGCCAAGATATCAGCAAAGGTAGCGGTTGAGAATTGTATGTATTATTATATATATATATATATATATATATATATATATATATATATATATATATGTCTGTTCTCCATGCATTCTCCTGCACCATGCATGCGTGTATATATTGTGTTGATCAACTTGCCTTACATTCAGAGACGGAGCCCCACCCCACTTCATATATAATATTTGTATGCATATATGTATATATAGTAGATGTTTTAGTATTAGTATAAAAAAACTATTAAATATTAACAAGAAATGAGGTAAAACCCATATATCGAAATAGTATTTTTCAGCCTCAAAATCTCTGCTTCTACTTCTCTCTTAGCCTACTGTGTTCTAAGTTTTGCTCTAGTTCGCCAGGTTCGTTCATTTGAGTGCTCAAACGTCGAATTGTAGCATGTTTTATCCTAAGAAGCCTAGGCCACAACGCTCCTAGCACTTTTGGGAGGTGACAAATAAGGTTTTAAGGAGAGAGTGATCGCTCAACTCGTGCTAAAAACCCTACACCAAACACAAGCCACTCTTGTTTCTTTTGGTTGGAATTATAATCTGAGGATTATAAATTCCATTTTGGTTGATATACATATATCTTTTTCGTAAATATAAATGTATATAACCGTGGGGATCTGATTTATATATATTGGCCTGGTATATATATATATATATATATATATATATATATATATATATATATATATATATAATATTTTATATACTTTCGTGTGTATATATAAATATTATTTTGCGATATTAAATCGACTTTGGTTCATTATCTCTTGCTCAATCCGCATTGGATAGACGAAGAAAAGAACCACAAAAATACGAGCGATGGTTTAAGAAGTAAAAGAAATCATAAATTTTTGATCACTTTAATTTATTTTATTTTTTATTTTTTTGTGTAATAGGAAAAGTAGACAAAAATTAGCCTTTTATAGCAATGTTGGGGAAAAGGATAATATACCAAGAAAATTGTGTAGAAGGGAGATTCTTTCTACCACTACAAATTCATATGATTTTTAAAAATGAGACAAATTCCTTTAAACTCAATTAAAATTCACTTTAATCCAACACAAATCGAAAATAGTGATGGTGGTGATGTGGTGGCGACGGTGGTGGTGGTGTGGTGGCGGTGGTTACAGTGGTGATGATGGTGTGTGGTAGTATGTAGTGGCAGCGGCAACAGTGGTGGTAGTGTGGTAGTGGTAGTGGTGTGAAAATTGAAAAGTGACTTTCCCCAAAAAAGAGGAGAAATCAATTTTCAAGAAAATGAAGGTCGTTTACTCATAGAAACTGTTTTCTGTTTTTTTTTTTTTTTTTTTTTTTTTAATTTTCAATTTTCATTCTCTGATTTCCATTCTCTATTTTCTATTGAGAAAACTTGTTTACTAATACTTTTATTTTAAAATTTATTTTCTAGATTAACGCTATAAAATTAACACAAGTTTAATTTCGAGTGATTTTTAAACATTCATTTTAAATATTTTAAAATATAAAATTGATTTAAATAGAATAAATATAATTTTTACTTTTAAGTCCAATATATATAAGATTTTTACATTTGATATCCGAACTAAATTTATATCCGTATATAACATATATAACTAAAAATATATCTGAACCAATAACCTATTAAGTTCACCTAAAATTTAGTTTAGATAATATTAATATTTTGTTTAGCTAATATTTAAAATATTTTTGGATATATTCATTTGAATGACATGTATATAAATATATAATTTTTACTTCGAATTCTAATTCTAATATAGTAATATATGTGAAATTTCAATATCTGATATCTTGACCAAACTTGTATTACGATATAACATAACTAAAAATATTTGAACCAATAATCAATTAAGTTACGTCAAAATATAAAACTTAGTATAAAGTTTAATTTTTAATTTTGATAATGTGAATAATGTCTAACTTTAAGTATGAACAAATAAATTATGTTTAAATAATAAATGCAAGTAAATAAATAAATAAATAAATAAATAAATATATATATATATATATATATATATATATATATATATATATATATATATATAAGATGGTGATAAATAAAAGAATATGATAATGAATGTAATTATAGTAATAAATAAATATGTAAGTAGATAGTGGTGAAAATATGGTTATAGTGACATACATATAGCCAGATAGATGATAGATGATTTTGTTTTCCATTTAGAAAATAATTTTTAATAGTTTTCGAGTTTTCTAGAAAACTAAAAAATTATTTCCTGTTTTTAAAATGGAAAATTGTGCTAGTAAATATGTTTTCTGTTCTCTAATTTTTTCATTTTTAGAAAATTGAAATTTTTTTAGAGTTAATAAACGGGTTCTGAGTGTTTTTTTTCTTTGACTAAACACTCATTTTTCTTTGACTCACGTTTTCACTCTTTATCAAACACTGAAAATTCAGAAAATGATTTTTAAAAATCAATTTTTGGGTTGCCAAACACACCTTAATATAATTGCAGTTAGCAAAATAAATTGAAAAGCCAAGGTGCAAAATTAAGGTCTATCTTCAATCCTAAGTAATTTATTTATTTTTTCTTGTTTCTTTGATTCCTTATCAATCAAATAGACGAGTATTTAGCAAGGACTTTGCAGAAAGAGTATTGTATATATGAAGATTCATCGAGGGAATTTGAATTTTTTTTATAAATGACCAATATTTCCTTTAATAGTTTAAAATTCAAAATAAATTGTTAATAATAAAAAATTTATAAGTAATAGATTAAAACTACCACTTTTAACATAATTAAAAGAAAAATTTGTATAAGATAATAATTCATAAACCGTACAATTTAGATATAATTAATGAACTAAAATCGTTATTTTACAAAAAATAAAAATAAAAATAAAATAAATATTATTATATTTTAATTCATACTACAAAGAAGAATAGAATAGAAAAAGAATTTAAAAAAAAAATATTTACACGAGTTCCATTTTATTGTTGTTATTTATTATTATTATTATTAAAAAATTAAATAATATTTTACAATAATGAATAAGTTCAGAATAATAAGTACTTAACAGAATATTTTATTACTATAATTTATTTGATAATTATTACTAACATTTATAGATAAATGAAAAAGTAAAAAGTGAAAGATTATAACTTTTGAAAATATATTATAACCCAATAAGGGGTTCGACACCACATTTTAGAATAGTAAAATTTCCATGGGTTGGATTTTGACAAATGGGAAGGCAAAACTTTAACAAAATTTTTCTTCTGCTATTTGCGAATTCATGTCAGAAAAACCTGTACTTTTTTTGCTTTGTTTTTAAAGCTGGCCAACCAACGGCCAGGCCAGCTTCTTTGTTCTATTTTTTTTTTTTTTTTTAGTTTTGTTAAATTCTATTATTAAATTTGTATATGATAAAATTATAATTTAAAAAATTAAAAAGTTTATAATTATAAATTTATTTTAATTTTGCTAAAAATTGTAATAATAATTTTTATAATATTATTTTAATTAAGTTTCCAACAAATGAAAGTTTGCAATTTTAAGTATATATATATATATATATATATATATATATATATATATACACACACGTTATGTATGTTAATTATTTATGTTTATTTTACAATTATAAAATAAATAAATAAATAAAATATTGAGATAAAATGGTGGGTCCACAAAAAGTTTTGAAAAACTTAAAACTAAGAGCATCCACACTAGTAGTTATTTAGGAGTTATTTCTACATGAATTCTCTCCACTCAAAGTTAATAGCTGATGTGGGGAGGAGTTATTTCAAAAATTTTTCTTATGCAAAGTATGGTATATTTGTGGTCCCAATAAGTAAGAGAAATAATTAAAATATAGTAAGTTAAATGGTGGGTGCATAAAAAACTGAAAAATAACTCAAAATTGATGTGGAGAAGAGTTTTTTGTAATTGAATGAGATGATAGAGGATGAAGTGGATGCTAGGACCCACAAATAACTGAGAAATAATCTCAACTGATAAGGATGCTCTAATGGGAAGAAGAGATTTTGTGATTGGGTGAGATAGTAGATAATGAGTTGGATGCTGGGACCCACAAAAATCTGAAGTAAAATCCCCAACTATTGAGTACAGGCAATTAGGCAGCAGATAGTCGTCAAAAAATTTGGGAAGAAAATAAAGAACAAAATTTCAGAACGCATGCCTCAACGAATAGAGTGATGGTGTATAATAGTCCAGACTCCAGAACTATTATTTAGTACGTATATTTCAGAACGATGTCAACTCACAGAAACAGACTCGTTACAAACATGGAAAAAGGTAATGCTTCGTACTATATATACTAGTATGTTCATGTCACTCATAGGACTTCATCACTTGGTTGACAATTCAGCAGAGACTCGATCTGCCTCAGTCGACTTCCTCCATCTTGCTCTCCTCATTGCTTTCCTCCAGTGCAGGCATCTCAGTGTCTTCTCCGGCAGTCTCATCCTCATAGTCATCGATGCTCAGCCCAAGCTTCAACATCCTGTGGATCCTTCCAGCGAAGGTGTTGGGGTCATCAAGGCTGAACCCAGAAGTCAAGAGAGCAGTCTCAAACAGAAGCAGGACCAAGTCCTTCACAGATTTATCATTCTTATCAACCTCAGCCCTCTTTCTAAGCTCCTCCATGATGCCGTTGTCTGGGTTGATCTCCATAGTCTTCTTGCTCGACATGTAAGCACCCATGCTACTATCCCTTAATGCTTGAGCTTTCATGATCCTCTCCATGTTGGCCGTCCACCCATACTCCCCAGTCACCAGGACACAGGGAGAGTCCACAATCCTGTCAGAAACTACCACTTTCTCAACCTTGTCTCCTAGTATATCCTTTATGACTTTACACAGGTTTTCAAATGATTTCTTCTTTTCTTCCTTTTTCTGTTTCTCCTCTTCTGTCTCTTCAAGTTTCAACCCTTCCTTGGTTGCAGCAACCAACTTCTTCCCATCGAATTCTTTCAACTGCCCAACAGCGTATTCATCGATTGCATCCACCATAAAAAGCACTTCATACCCTTTCTTCTTTAGCCTCTCCAGGAATGGAGAGTTCTCTACAGCTTTCTTGCTCTCACCAGTTATATAATAGATATCCTTCTGTCCCTCCTTCATCCTTGTTACATAATCCTTCAAGCTTGTCATTTCATCACCACTTTTCGTAGAGTAATATCTCAGAAGATCTGCAATCTTAGCCCTGTTCTGGCTATCTTCGTGGATACCCAATTTCAGGTTCTTTGAGAAGGCTTCATAGAATTTGATGTAGTCCTCTTTGTTCTCAGCAATTTCAAAGAACATCTCAATGCACTTCTTCACAATATTCTTCCTAATGACCTTCAAAATTTTGTTTTGTTGGAGCATTTCACGGGAAATGTTGAGGGGAAGATCATCAGAGTCCACCACACCTTTAATAAACCCAAGGTACTCAGGGATCAGCTCCTCACAGTTATCCATGATGAAGACCCTCCTCACATAAAGCTTAATGTTATTCAACTTTTTCTTTGTGTCAAAGAGATCAAATGGAGCCCTCTTTGGCACAAAAAGGATGGCCTTGAACTCAAGCTGACCCTCAACAGAGAAATGTTTCCAGTGAAGGGGGTCCTCCCAATCATTAGTTAGACTCTTGTAGAACGAGCAATACTCCTCTTTGGCAATTTCTTCAGGCTTGCGCAGCCAGATAGGTTTTTGTTTGTTAATCAGCTGCCACTCATGGGTCACCTCCTTGATCTTTTTCTTCTTCTTTTTGTCTTTATTTTCATCCACATCCTCTACATCACCCTCTTCTTTCTTGTCCTCCTCATCTTCATCATCACTGATCTCTTTTTCAGTAGTTTTCTCAGTCCAGAGGTAAATTGGGTAGCTAATGAACTCGGAATGCTTCTTCACAAGGTCCTTTATCCTCCTCTCTTCCAAGTATTCCAGCTGCAATAAGACAAGCACAAAATGTTTATGCATGAGTTTCATAACAGAGCTTCACCTAAGCAATAAGGTGAATCTAAACTAGCAGTCATTAACAGAAATTTTTTGTGATATCATAAAAGGGGAACAGGGTGCAGATGGCATTAGTACTAAAAATGCAAAACATAGAAAACATTATACCTGATCATCCTTGAGGAAGAGGGTTATCTTAGTTCCCCTTCCAAGTGGTTCTCCATTTACATCCCTTGTAACAGTGAATGATCCACCAGCCTGAGACTCCCACACATACTGCTCATCATCATTGTGCTTAGTTGTGACGACCACCTTCTCTGCCACCAGATAGGCAGAGTAGAAACCTACACCAAACTGTCCAATCATACTAACATCTGCTCCCGCCTGCAATGCCTCCATAAACTCCTTAGTTCCAGACCTTGCAATAGTTCCCAAATTGTTCACCAGATCTGTTTACCAAAGCAACAATATCATTTATCTATTAATTTACCAAATGCTATTGCAGTACTGTATTTCATGGACATAATTACTTAAACAATTTATGTCCTAAAGAGCTTAAATATTTAGCTGATTCCATCTTCAGGTACAGCACACAGCCATGGATTGCCAACAATACATTTATTGGAAAAATATATCCACTAATCGTGCCGCTACTCCATTCTAAGCAAGCTAGAGATGCATATAAACATGGATTCAACATATTTAAGGATGTAGATCGTACTTAATTTTACCAAATGTTATTGCAATACTGAATTTCATGGACATAATTACTTAAACATTTGATATCCTAAAGAGCTGAAATATGTAGCTGATTATGGATTGCCAATTGGAAAAATATATCCACTAATCATGCCGCTCCTCTGTTCTAAGCAAGTAACAGATCCATATAAACATGGATTCATATTTAACGATGTAGATCTTACTCCGTACAAAATTATTTCGAACCGACTCAAAGCAAAGCAAAATTGGAAACAGAAGCATTATATTCTACTCATAGACTTTTTTCCTCGATAATAAATCACAGAGAGCAGGAATATAGCATACAAACGCTTTACGCATCTGTAAATGAAATTCATAGGCCATATACCTGCTTTAGTCATTCCAACACCACTGTCAATGATAGCTAGTGTTTTATTAACCTTATCAGGCAAAATCCTAATAAATAGCTCGGGCTGAGCATCGAGCTTGCTCTTGTCCGTCAAGCTTTCGAAACGTATTTTATCCAATGCCTAACAGAAAATTCACAATCATTTTTACAGAATCAGCATAAATAGATGAACTCCAATTCACATTCGCAAGCGCAAATTAAAGACGAAAATAAATACTCAGTATGCATGTATTCAAAAAGTAGTAAGAGCAGTAGCGCTTACGTCAGAGGCGTTGCTGATTAGTTCGCGAAGGAAAATCTCCTTATTGCTGTAGAAAGTGTTGATGATGAGGCTGAGGAGCTGGTTGATCTCCGCCTGGAAGGCGAAGGTCTCGCTTTCCCCCATGTGAACGTCCGCCATTAACAGTAGAGTTCAAAAGAGTGAATGCAGTAGCAGGTGCTTGTTCGGGGTTTGAAATGCGTTAGAATATGCAGAGACTTCGAAAATGATGAAGTATAGCGGAGAGAAGGCGGGTATTTATATGGTAGGGGTTTGCTGAAGGCGGTTAGCACGTTCGGGATTCATGAAATACTGGAATAGAGTGGAGTCATCATCTCGTTCTGGTCAATTCTAGACTTTTCTACGCTTTCTCTGCAATTTCTGGTGCTTTCTTTTTATATCAAATTCCAATTTTGCCCTGCTGTTAATGATGAATGCATCATTTTTTTTTTGTTTTTTTTTTTACAAAACAATAAAAGGATTCTATTAATAATGATGGGTAGGAAAAAAATGAACGAATACAATCGAGAGGATGTTGTCCCAATTATGGGAGTAGAGACAATTACCCTTGTTAGTTTGTGGGTAATCTAATTCGCTGATCTCCTAACAAAAATATAATTTATTGATTTAAAATTGGCCATTAAACTTTTATAATTGTGGATAATAAGACCCATTGCGATCTGTTTGGGGTGTTGTTCTTCAGCTCATTAATTGTATTTAAACAGTCAATTTTTAAACGAATGAACTTGACGTTCTAGTCTTTTAGTCAAAAGAGAACTTTCTTATAGGCTGGAGTTTCTACCAACGCCGGATACTGAGGGCTGTCGAGATGAATGCATCATTTATTTGACAATCAAGCAGTTGTTTTTCACTTGTTTGTAAAGAAGCATTTAATAAAATTAATTGTTTATTGTTGACATGTATAAAGACATCTAAGGGTATGGATATATTTTTATTTAATTATTTTCATAAATAATAGAGAAATTTATATTTTGTACATGAGTTAAATTTATAGTGACCATTGCACTTTGTCATAAGTTATAATAATCATAATAATGTAATTCGTATTGTATTCCATACTTATTCTTAAAGTGGTGCCATTGGTCGCTGATGTTAGGGATTTATAGACATGGTTAAATCTTATGACAATTATATAAAAACCAACCTCAAGCTAAGATAAAAATGAAAGTTATTTCAATTCTGATTTCAAACATAATCGTAAAATTTCTCTTCCTTTTGCATTGCATGAGACTGAACGATGAGGGGACAAATTTCCAGCTACACAAATTTCTTAGTGACCCATAGTAGCAAAATGGTTTTAAAGATTCTAGTCAAAACAACGAGGTGTGGCGATGCTTCTCTTCTCCTCTATGGCCATTCTTCTTTGAATTGCCATTGATGTTGTCAATAATCTAGTGATGAATATTGAATAGTAGCGACGATGAAACTTCCGCTATCTCTAATAAAGACATAATGAATGATAAGCTCGAACATTTTTTTTTTAATTTTTTACAGTTTTTAATTTCAAACTTTTCTATTACAAATTTGACTGTCTCTTTTCATTAGTGTGGATTAGGTCATTGGTGTGGATTTGGGTAACACGAATTTAGTTTGAGGAATAGAAGGAATGGATTAGGTCATTGGTGTGGATTTGGGTAACACAAATTTAGTTTGAATTGAGGCTTTTTGTTTGATTTTTCCATTCTTGCAAATTGGCCCCACATATTTGATATATGCTTTCAATTGAGTCATTTTTTCAAAGAATTAATAAGTCCAAAATTCATATAATTTTATTTTATTTTATTCAATAAATGTCATAAGGACATATGTATAAATAATATAATGCTAATAAACATCAAATTGGACCATTTAAATTATAATAATCCTATAATGTAATATAGGAAGCAAACACAAATTCTTGACTTATAAATATAACTCCATAACATTTTTTTGTGTAACACATCACCACTTTTACATTGAAAGTTATCTCTAAGTTTGGGTGAAGATGAAGTACTAGAACTACAAGATGACATTTTATAAATAGAGGCTAAATTAGTCTTTAAATATGGAAAAAAAATAATTATATATTTAAATATATAAAATACAATACATGTATTTAGGTACTTACCTTGTTAGAGTTGGAGAATTGTTTTTGGAGTAGTAATTTGTTTGAAGAAGCATGATAAATCATGATAAGAGGAGAATATAGTGTAAAATCACGTTAGAAAACAATGTTACGTACATTGATTAAACTAGTCATTAGAAGACTCGCAAATTAAACCACTATGAATGATTATGAAAGCACCATAAATGTAATACTTCTCCTATGATGACCACCAAGCCTTACAACTTTTAGTGAGCCCTACCTACAAGCTTTACAATCTCTAGAGCTCCACAAGAGTACATAACAAAATAATAGTGGAGTGTGGTTAGATTTAGTCTAAAAAGTTTTATAGTTTTCATATTTATTGCTTCCATGTTAAAATCATTATTATGTATCATTGTTGAACATGTTATTTGATTTATTATACAACAGACCCAAATCGCTTATTCTGTACTAGTGACTGTATGTTGAATAATATAATTAACGCTAATTATTGAGCAATTTGTGTTATTTCATTAAAAATCCCACAAAAAAAATCATGTCCTTTTGCCCAATTGCTTTGTCATCAACACTGCACCGAGGCAAACGAGGCCATGAAGGTATTGGCTGCAATGCTTTTCACACCGACCTCGTAACGCTCTATGCGTAAAAACTTTGATTATGCACTTAAGTTTTATGCATGCATGATACACATCTCTCAACATGTTTCATGCATTGGTTTGATTAATATGACACTTTGTGTGACAATTTAGGTGTTTTACATACCCATTAAGTAGTGGTGTTCACTTCCATGCACTTCTTTGTGTTTTGCACATCAATTATGAATACATGTTTTGTGCACCAACTCCCCTTAATATATAAAATTATGTTTATCTAAACACGGATAAAGTAGTTGAATGAGACAGGAAAATTAAGTACGCCGTATATTTTTTAAAGAATTCTTTTTTGGTTTTTTGCCAAGTGACTAAGTCAGTCTACTTTATTTCACGGGATATTCAAAACCGCGTTTACAGAATCACAGGTTCAAAACCAAACAGACCCTAAAGTAATTCAAACCTCATAGAAAATCCGATCCCAGCAGCTAATTTCCGACGATCTCAGCTCCGGCGCCGCCCATCTCCGGCGGACCGTTATTAGCATCACGGCTTAACCTCATGGCAACAGAAACCAGCTCAGCTTCTTCCAATGGCGCAAACATTAGAGGCGTTCCCACTCATGGCGGCCGCTACGTTCGCTATAATCTTTACGGCAACTTATTCGAAGTCTCGAGTAAATATGTTCCCCCCATTCGCCCCATCGGTCGCGGCGCTTATGGCCTTGTCTGGTAAACAAATAGCAATACAAGTATATGTATAAACATTGATTGTTTGTGTGTTTATTGTAAAAGTTGAAGTAAATGCGTCTGAGATGCTGCAGGTGGCTTAATATGAAGTATGAAGTTGAAGTATAGTGTTGTAGGGATTTTGTTTTCTACTGGAGTTGACTTGGTTGATCTAAGTATAGCCAGATTTTAGGTTTAGCTTTAGTAGATTAATAATTTGTATCTTGCAGTGCGGCGGTGAATTCAGAAACCCGAGAGGAAGTGGCTATTAAGAAAATTGGCAATGCCTTTGATAATAGAATTGATGCTAAGAGGACTTTGAGGGAAATTAAGTTACTGAGGCACATGGATCACGAAAATGTGAGTTTTACACATTTATTTTTTGTTTGGATTAGTTTATTGGACATAATTAAAGACTTTCCTTTTTTCGATTTAGCATCAAATTTGGATTAATATTCACTTTTTGTTGGGTATTCAGATTGTTGCAATTAAGGATATCATAAGGCCGCCAAAGAAAGAGGCTTTTAATGATGTGTATATTGTTTATGAGTTGATGGATACTGACCTTCATCAAATCATTCGTTCTGATCAGCCTTTAACAAATGATCACTGTCAGGTATGGCTCTTAGCCTGTTATTTGACTCTTTTTTGTAAATAATTTGCATTGAATGGCAAGTAATTGTTTTCTCATCACTTTTATTAGCTGACAGAAGTGATTACATTTAGAAAAAAAGTATTTTCTTCTTTGTTGGTCATCTTTGCTATGTAAATATGATTTTCAGATGCAGTGGATAAGAAACAATCATAATGTCTGGCTCTTGATACTAAGGAAAACTTGTATGTTGGACTTTTTAGGGTTGAGAAGTGGGGAGGGGGGGGGGGGGGAGGGGGGGGGGGTCGAAAAAAAAAAAAACCAAAATGAAGATGTGTTTGATTGTGGAGTAAGAAAAATGGTGATTTAACATGTGTATTGTCTCTTAATTTAGTGTCAATATCATAGTAACAGTTGTAGTTCTTATCTGGAATTTGATGAGCGAAATTTCTTATTTTGTTGTTATCCTTTCATGGATAGAGGAAACTATTGTTGCTGTTATGGAAATTTCCAGCCTCTATCAATGTATCAATGGTTTATGCTTCTTTAATTGTGTGTGTGTCTATAAACACTCACACACCTTTCTTTCTTTAATTTTGTTATATTTGACGGGGGAAATGTGATTTGAAGCCAGGACTAACGCCTATAATGGGGCTTAGTTTACCATTAAGCTAAACCTCAAACACCTGCTTCTTCAATATATATCATTTTGGCATATGGTTTTATCCTCTGGCTCAAATTAGCTCCTGAGACTGACAAAATTTGATGAACTTTGCAGTACTTTATGTACCAGCTCTTAAGAGGACTGAAGTATGTGCACTCTGCAAATGTTTTGCATCGTGACCTGAAGCCCAGCAATTTGCTTCTTAATGCAAATTGTGACCTAAAGATAGGAGACTTTGGTTTGGCAAGGACAACATCAGAAACAGATTTCATGACTGAGTATGTTGTCACTCGCTGGTACCGAGCACCTGAACTGCTCCTTAACTGTTCTGAATACACTGCTGCAATTGATGTTTGGTCTGTTGGGTGTATTCTTGGTGAAATAATGACCAGAGAACCTTTATTCCCTGGCAAAGATTATGTTCATCAGCTGAGACTTATCACTGAGGTAATGTGTTTGGAGTTTATCATTAGACTAATATAATGACAGTGAAACAAATTGCCACTCTAGGTGCCATTATGAGTTCTATCTTTAATTGTAGTGCAAAACATATAGCTTTTGAATTGGTTCCAAAATATAGAATTTTGGTTGTGTTCCCTGTACTGTTCTTTTGGCAGTAATATAATATCTGATGCAGACCCTTTAGTCATTCTGGCTTGGATCACCAGTTATTGTTCCCATTAACTGATTTTTTTGGCTTGTTCAATGACAGAATGACATACTTGGGTGGAGAAAGACCAATATAAGAGATGAGAGATGAGTGAATAGATAGATAGAGGGAATTACAGAAGACCTGATTCTATTTTTGTTCTTTTCATCTAGCTATATATTCATTTTGTTTACCCTGTTCCTGATGCTTCTCCTTTTGCTTCATCTGTCTAAAAGCTCTTAGGATCACCTGATGATGCCAGCCTTAGATTTCTGCGAAGCGATAACGCACGAAGATATGTCAAACAGCTTCCCCAGTACCCTAGGCAACAATTTAAAGCAAGATTTCCAAATATGTCTCCTTTGGCTATTGATTTGCTAGAAAAAATGCTTGTGTTTGATCCCAATAGAAGAATTACAGGTAAGCATCTGTGATTTACTCTTCATAAAAGTTCAGTGCGTCTAATTAATGCAGTTGATATTCATGCAGTTGATGAAGCACTCAGTCATCCGTTTTTGTCATCTCTTCATGATATCAACGATGAGCCAATCTGCCCTAGGCCCTTCTGGTTTGATTTTGAGGAGCCTTCATTCAATGAAGAAAACATCAAGGAACTGATCTGGAAGGAGTCCGTTAAATTTTATCCAAATCCAGTGGAATAGCAAGTGCAATTATCACGCCTGCATTTTCTGTCGTATAAATACTGAGAACTCGCTTTGTTCAATTCTCGAGTACAAGATTTGTGACAATTGCTCGGGGAACATATATTAGCTTTTCCGTGGTCGCTGGCTAGATCATGAGAGGACTCGTTATGCGAACCTGATATCCCGGCTGGAAGCTAGTATAGCCTGATATTGCAGCTGGAAGCTAGTCCAAGATATGGTGAAGTTGGTAGTAGTTCCCATTGTTTTGATGTTACTATGTCGGCCTTTGTATTTCCTCGTATATACAGACAATAATGTTGCAATGAATCTATATTTATGTAAAAGCAACAACATTTCTTGTTGCCAAACTGTGACACTCTTTTAGACAGGTTGGAAAAAAATCGAGATTGTGTTGTTTCCATCTCTGGCTTCATTTCGTTAATTCATTATACGAATAGGATTACACGAAACACATACATAAAAAATACTATACATACAAGAGTGGTGGTCTAAGAATGTTGAAAGTCATTGATGTGGTATGATGCATGATTTACAGGTAGCTAGGTTTTGAAGGTTGGGAAGAAGTGGAGGTGATGATGATGGCTGCAAGTGAATGAAATGCTTTTGCTGCAATCCTCATCTTGATTTGCCCTCTTTTGGGGATAAGCCTTCTTCTTCTTGTCCTCAACAATTCAGTGCCCACTAACCTTGCTGTTGAAGAAGGCTCATCATTAACAACCTTGCTCTTCATCTTCCTCTGCATCTTATCTGCAGTTTCATGGAATGAAGCTAGAATATGTTGAGGCTAGGGGTTTATATAGAAGAAAAAAGATTTTAAAATAATTAAAAAGAAAAAAAAAAGTATAAAATTCAATGACAAATGGATTATCTATTACCATCTTATATATAGTGTTAGGTTCCTCAGGCAAGTAGGCAAGACAGTGGGGTGCCATGACAGCTAAAAAAAATTTGTGCAGATCATGGTTTGACAATGACATGAATGTTGAAATTAATGGTATTTGTTTTTTTTTTAATGTTACCGACTCTATTACAATGTAGTATTGTTCATAACTACTTTCTCAACCTACTGAAATACAAAGAGCCAATAACACCTCTAGAGGTTTGAACTCACAACTTCCCATATGGGAGTCCAACCTGGGTGTCATCTGAGCACAAAGTATTTGGCTTGTTATTTGATTAGTTAAATGGGAAATTTACATATTTGGTCTGGAGTTAAAACTTAGGTATAAAACTAAATCTTTTTTTTTTTTTTTTTTGAATAATAAATAGTTTTGGTTGTTAATATTCTGTTAAATTTGAGTGAAAAATTAATAAAAATGCTTAAATCGTAAAAGATAAACATGAAACTTTAATATTCTCGTACTTTTTTCTTATATGAGACAAATATTCTTAGGGCTTCAGCGAGTTTATTTGTTCTACTCAAAATTTGAAGCTTGTTAAATAGACTCAATGAAACTTGGGGACGATTTGTAGCATATAAGAGGAAGAAAAAGAAATCAAGAGTTCATATTTACCTCTACCATTAAATTTTTTTTATTAGTTTTCTGTTTAAATCTAATTGAATATTAAAAAAAATAGAATTGTCATTTCGGGAATAAATTGAGGAATTGAGTCTATTTTTTATTTAAGGGAAAGTCCATGGCAAATTATGCCGTGCATCCGTATGCACCATGTATGGTGCATACGGATGCAAAAACGACGTCGTTTTATTAAAAACGCGTGTCTCCTCTTAATAAAAAATTTAGGTTCGATTCCCAGCAACAACATATGAACTAAAATTTCAGAATCGATAAACTAAAATTTCAGAATCGATGAACTATAATTCCAGAATCGATGAACTATAATTCCAGAATCTATGAACTAAAATTCCAGAATCTAATCTGTGAACTAAAAATTTCAGAATGAATGAACTAAAATTCCAGAATATATGAACTAAAATTCCAAAATCGATGAACTATAATTCCAGAATCAATGAACTAAAATTCTATAATCTATGAACAAAAATCCCATAATGAATGAACAACATAATGTTGTTGCTGGGAATCGAACCTGAATTTTTTTTTTAAATGGGAGACACGCATTTTTAATAAAACGACGTCGTTTTTGCATCCATATGCACCCTGCACCATGAATGGTGCATACGGATGCATAGCATAACTAGTCCATAGTCACTACTAAAAATGCATTTGGGGTGAAAATCATCTTGTGATTTTAGTCAACAAATGATCAGACCAACTCAAACTGAGAAGACCAATGGACAATTCTCACATAATTAAACTTGAAACTTTATGGTTATCAAATCAATTGTCCGATCAATGTCCTCTTAAGGAATATAATTGAGTCAAAACTTAATATAATGTGGTATAACTCAAGGATCAAGTATGTCATTTTCCCTCTTGCATATTAAGGCCCTGTTTGGTAAAATAATTAGCCTATCAGTCAACTTTGGCTTATTTGACCACTATTAGCTGTTTGACTATATGAGTTTTTGAGTAATTAGCTTTTTGTAACAATTTATTGTTCCAAAATGCTAAAATTTCAAATACTGTTCAATGTAGTTTGTTTTTTTTTTTTGAGAAAGTCATTTTGAATGTAATTAGCTAACAGCTAATAGCTAATCTACCAAACACTTTTCTACAATGAGCTAATGCTATGAACTAGTCAAACTCATTAATTCAATCAACTATCAGTGAGCTAACCACCATTTACCAGACACCCCTAAATATATATGTATATATTAGAACCATAACCTCAATATTTCATAGTAAAATGAAGTTTCGACTAATTCAAAGTTGAGCTGCAATTAACTTAAGCCCCCGTTTCAAGTGCATGAATGTTTGTACATTATAATCTGTACAAAAGACAAAAATTAGGATATGAAAACAACCTCAGCTCTTATTTTAATCTGCATGTTTCTGCAACCGCACATGTTGCAGAGACAAGTGTAGCATATACTAATGAAGATTGAAGAGATCAAAAGCAGCTTCATCGTCGTCTGTGTGTCTCCAAATCCAGTTAGGTCTGCAAAAGATATATATATATCCGCAATTGGAAACATTTAATATTATTGACAAGAACCATCGTACTAAGCTTCCCCTTTCCAAGATAGCCGCTGCATGATTTTTCTGTTGGGTTGAACATGTGCTGCGCCCAATCATATGATCTTCAAACCCTTGAAACAAGGACCCCATCATATATAATTAACCTAGCTGGCTAGCTGCGCTGCTCCCTGCAAACCTTCACGTTTCATATTTAAATCCTTAGCCTATCTGTCAAATGTCAGAAAAAACAAAACAACCAAATCTTCGATCTTGTCAATAGTTTTTCAATTACCTCTGCGTGTTTTGTCTTCTGGTATCCTGCGAAAACCGGAGAGCAGGCCACCCCCGCACGCGTTCCATATCATTATATTATTTATGCATCTCATGTCATCAGTTACGTCGCTGAGTAAATAAATCATATGAAGCACTGCGGGGTTAGCTCAAGTAGTAGACCTGACCTAAAATTAGCACTATATAGGGTGGGGTTTAACTACAACCACCTAAATAGATCATAAGTGCTTACCACTACGCGAAAAGTTATAACGCGTAATGAATGTATAACTTTATTTCCTTATTTTCGAGAGGCAGAGTGCTGGACTTGATCCTTCAAGTCTACGCAGGCCTAACAGTTTCCTAACCACCAATTACTGGATTTGGCCCTTTAGTGGCCTCTGCCCAACAGATCCCTGGTGTGCAACAACAAGGATTGACTGGGAGGCTACTTCGGCAACTAGCCATTTACTTTTTACAGCGACTCCTAAGCAGGGATTTTTGGGTGTTAGGATTAGTCTGGCGTAAGTTGTAACATAATGTATCAAAAAATAAAAAATCATATGGATGAATTTGATTTGGTGCAAGTTGGTGTGTAGGGAATCTTGTACGGGCAGACAGTCCTGCTGTCATGCCACCCTATCCACATCAATGTTTAACAAACGCTAGCTTTTGTCAACTTTCCCAGATCAATGGTTTTTCTTCCCTGGTTTTGCGTTGAGGTCTTCTATATAAACCCCCCCATCTCACTCAAATGAAGAGCAAGACAGACAGTTATTCAACCAGCCATCTCTTTCCTGAATTAATCTCCAGTAGTCTTTTGAGCTTTAATTTGAAGCATGAATCAGAAGATAATCTGCAGGGTGTCTGCACCAGCAACTCAAAGGTTAAGGAGCATGAAGCCTTTGCCAAAGAGAGGGCAGATAAAATCCAGAATAGCGGCAAACGCCTTCCACTCCATTGTTTCCATGCTATCTGCTGCCTCTTCGCCTCGCCACCATTCCATCAGGAAATCTTAAGCAACTGTTGGAAATTATGGAATTTTCGACCACCTGAAAGTGATCTTATATCAAGTAGAAAACAAAAAATGGTGTGAAATAACAACTAAGGTTTTTTTAGTGGTCGGAACAAGGCTTTCGACTTAATTTAAGATCATTTTCAGGTGGTCGAAAATTTCATAATTTCCAGCAATGACCACCAGACATTAGGCAGTTATGCATGCAGGATCGGAGTTAATATTAGAATTGGATTTCCCATTCTGTTAATTCTCCCTGCTGTATCCTTATTGGTTGGATACATGCATGCATATATGTTCATTAGATTTTGATTTTGACATCTAAATGTAATAGAGTACATTAGCCTTCATGGTTCCAAGTTCAACTCCCCCCTAGGAATTGTGTATTGGTCTTCTTAGTTTGAACCGATCAGTTATGGACAATTTAAATTGATTTACCTCCTTATAATCATTTCTGATAATGACTTTGAATCAAAGAATTGAAACTCTTTGACATTTGCACAATGAACAAATTGTTGTTTTCCTCCTTCCTGGAGAGTTCCCACTAAAAAAATCAGCGAAAGATTTTGCCAGACATGTTAAATACGGGCTAGTATTTGTTGGCCCAAAAACTTGCCTTACGGCCCAATCCTTGTTGCATTATTACGTATCAAAGGAATAATTATTTTTCATGAAGAAATGAAGATTTTCAATTCTTTAAAAATGGTTTGACATACTTTAAAATAATCTTTAAAATATAATAAAACATTAAAAATTCTATTCACAACCAAGCTTTCAGATGAGTTTATACAACCTGAAACTTAAATCTAAATTGAGTTTGAAGTGAACTTTGAATTTCGAATTTCGAGTTGAGTCAATTCAATTGAGTTGTGAACTTGTAGTGGTCCTTTTAATTTATCGATTCGACTCAACTTATATACACTCTTAAGTGGGTTATTAATACAATTGTAAAATTGGAGGTCTCCTGTGTAATAGTCAAAATTTTGCTTGCACAATTCAGGTCAAATTTAAATTAATATTACAATATATAGTAATGATACCGGGTGTAATATTGAAAACAAAAGTTTTATATAA